GGCTATAAGACAGAATAAGCTGGAGCTGGGAGCCGTGCAATGTTCTTATCGGACGTGAGAGAGACAAAGAGAGAGAGAGCGAGAGAAAGTGAGAGAGTGAACACGAGAGATTGACGGAGTGTCAGAGAGAGGAAGTGGAATCGAACGGGACGATATTCGCAAGAGAGTATTGCGAGAACACAAAAAAAGAAGATATTTTTTTATTTTTTTAACGAGACCTTGGGAACGCAGAGTGACACGCGAAAAAGAAAATAGCAGATACAGGAAAGCAGCAAGTAACAAATAAGGGGCGAGCGTAATTGCGATGAATGATTCGATGTGAGAGGTTCGAACGAACGTCTGTGCGAATTAGTGAATGAGACCGAGTGAACGAGGGAGCGCGAGCCAGGAAGACGAGTAGTAGAAACACAGAGCTAAGTGCATCCCAGAGGCGGGCACAGTGCATGCGTTTTTTACGTAGAAATAGACAAATCTGACTGCTTTTGTTTTATGAAAAATTTTTATGGGAAATAGTCTTAATCGTCTCTTAGATATGTATTACGAAAAGTAATAGGAGAAAAAAAAAACAAGAAAAAAACGCTAAAAAAAAATACGATCGGAGAGGTGAGAGTGAGGGAGTGAACGTGAGAGAGAGAGAGAGAGAGAGAGAGAGAGGGAGAGAAAAGTTGTAATAGTAGAAGAGAAATTGAATTTTTTAAATGTCGTTCCGACTTTGTACGTATCTTTTTATGTACATTTGTACGTCGACGTTTATTTTTATTGTAAAAAAATTTCGCCGTCTGTATTCGTAAGTTTATCTATAGGGAGAGTCTCCTGTCACTAATATTACTATTTACTTAAGAATAGCCCCTTCTTTCCTAGCGTATTGTATAATTGTAAACGACGAAGACGAGGATGAAGAGAACGGAAATTTCTATGATTTTATACATACAATAATGCGAAATCGATGGCGACGATAATATTGAAATTAGTAGAAGGAAACTTACAAGTGCAACTTAAGTCCTTTAACTTGAAGTTACCAAGCCGCGGGGGTTTTCATACTCTTCGAAGGATATAATTTTTTATTAAAGCAATCTTTTTGCGGAGCTCGTTTAACGATCATCTTTATTTTTTTATATATACCAGTGGTAGTATTTTGCCC